AAATGTTAGACTTGAAACCATAAAAATCCTAGAAGAAAACATAGGCAGTAAAATCCCGGGAATTTCTCTTAGCAATATTTTTTTTCTGATGTATTGCCTCAGGAAAGGGAAACAAAATAAAAAATAAACAAATGGGACTACATCAAACTAAAACATTTTTTGCACAGCAAAGAAAACCATCAACAGAATAAAAAGAGAAACTACTTATTGGGAGAACATATTCCCCAATGATAAGGGGTTAATATCCAAAATTTATAAAGAACATAAAATTCAACACCAAAATAAAGAAACAATCCAATTAAAAAATTGGCAAAGGACCTGAATAGACACTTCTCCAAAGAAGACATACAAATGGCCAATAGACATATGAAAAGATTCTCAATGCCACTAATCATTAAAGAAAATAAAACTACAATGAGTTATCACCTCACATCTGTTAAAATGGCTATTATCAATAAATCAACAAACAAGTGTTGGTGAGGATGTGGACAAAAGAGTACACTCATCAGTGGAAATACAGATTGGTGCAGCCACTGTGGAAAGGAGTATGAAGTTACCTCAAAAAATTCAAAATGGAGCCCTAGCTGGTTTGTCTCCGTGGATAGAGCATCAGCCTGTGGACTAAAGGGTCCCAGGTTCAATTCCAGCCAAGGGCACATGCCTGGGTTGCAGGCTCAATCCCCCCCAGTAGGGGACATGCAGGAGGCAGCCAATCAATGATTCTCTCTCATCATTAATGCTTCTATCTCTCTATCTCTCTCCCTTCTCTTTTTAAATATATATTTAAAAAAATTAACAATGGAACTGCCTTATGACCCAGTGATTCCACTTCGGGGAATATATTCAAAGAAACTTGAAACACTAATTCGAAAGAATATATGCACCCCTATGTTCCTTTGCAGCATTATTTACAACAGCTAGGATTTGAAAGCAGCCCATGTGTCCATCAGTACATGAGTGGATACAATGGAATACTACTTGGCCGTAAAAAAAGAAAGAAATATTATGCTTTGCAACAGCATGGATGGACCTGGAGAACATTATGCTAAGTGAAATAAGCCAGTCATAAAAAGACAAGTGCCATATGCTTTTACTTATATATGGAATTTAATGAACAAAATAAATTAGCAAAATAGAGAAATACTAATAGATAGAGAACAGACTGACAGCTGTCAGAGGTGAGGTGGGTGGCAGAGCTGGGTGAAAAAGGTGAAGGGATTAAGAAAAAGAAAACCCTCATACAAACAGACAACAGTATGGCAATTACCAGAATGAAAGGGGTGTGGGGGGAAGTAGAAGGTATAGGGGGGATAAATGGTGATGGAAGGAGACTTGACTTGGGGTGGTGAACATACAAAACAATATACAGATTATAGAATTGTATACCTGAAACCTATATAATTTATTAACCAATGTTACCCCAATAAATTCAATGAAAAAGAAAAACAGGTAATTAATTAGGAAAGAGTAATAAAAGGGTTCTTGGCCAGTTTTGAGTGCAGATATTTGAGATGTATAGTCCATCATAAATACAAAGTGGCTAGAAGTAGTGATGAGGAAGTATTATCATCCAATTACCATTACTGGTTGAAAGTTAGGCCCCGGGTTATAAGCCATGGATAAGCTATAAAAGAAAAGTCATATTGCCATTTTAATAACTTCGTAGTTCTGTTGACATTTGACTCTGTGTCCACGTCAAATGGAGAAATAAAATATTCTTTACAAATCTAAAGAGTTTTTTTCTCAGTTGCCCAGCAGAAAACTAAAAGCATGCATCAAACAAAACACTTTGTTTACTGCATTTTAAACTGAGATCTGAATTCAGTTAAGAAATCAGTAAGATAAAAATGAGAACATATTGAGTTTTTACTTCAGAGGTCACAAAGTCCTTTATTGTTAAGATCATTCAAATGTGAAACTTGAGGACATAGATATCTTCCCTTGTACTCTGAACATATGCCAGGTGAAAATTAAAAAATATTAATGTACAACTTTAGCAATTGCATGGGTGAAAGCAGTATGATGGGAATTAATACCTAAATAAATGCCCACTGAGGCTCTGGAAAGACCACTGTGTGATTAGACCAGGAAATGAAAACTAACACAATCACTTTGATAATCAAACTAAAGAACATGACTTTTTAAAAAATGAGATAAAATGCAAATATTGACACTTTTAAAAAATATATATTTTATTGATTTTTTACAGAGAGGAAGGGAGAGGGATAGAGAGTTAGAAACATCA